CCCCTTCACCCCTCACACTACCATCACTACTACCCCTCACACTACCATCACTACTACCCCTCACCCCACCATCACTACTACCCCCTACCCCTCCCCCACATCAGTCTGCCGGCCATTTCTTATTAAAATCTTCTCTCTATTTAAGTGTTTCTCTAGATTCCCTTAACATTATTTTCTCACTCTTTTTCTATAATTTCTTTACTCTATATTATCACACCTCAATGTTGTGCACCTCCCCCTGCTATGCCTTATGGTGGCGGGTATAACATGACGCAACACATCATCTTCCGGGGAAAGGCTGCACGGAATTTCTGGTATCAATGGCTTAGAAATGATGCTTTAGTAGTTTTGATGTGAAGTTGTTGTACGAGTGATACATTTTATGTCAGGTTTATTGGTGTTATTTTTTACTCCGTCTCATCGTGTTCTTCAATTTCACGAATTCTCATCTTATAATCCGTGATGCAATATACAATATATGGTCAGAAACATCTTTGCTTATTAAATAAATGTCTTACAGAACGTATGGACAACGAATATGACAGCTCATCATTCAAAACGTGGCCGAAGCCAACGTACAACTACGAGTGTTTCACCATGTTACGTACAGTACAGTATAGGGATGGTGGAGCTCACCAAGACCACAGACGGACAGTAATCCCTAGAGAGTGGACCGTGTTTTGTGGTCTCTGCAAAAATATTTATTTATAAGAAAAGCCAAGTGAAGGTATGCTTTATCATTGCAATTGTACTACGGTATAATACTAAAACTAAATATTTTTGTGACATTTACCGAAATATCTACATTTAGCGAACGAGATAACATTGTTTTAATCGAGTTATAAACCATAGAGTAATATTTGGTTTCTTTTTTTCAGGTGTATCACTAGAGTATATGGCGAAAATTCTAGTAAGTGGTAGAAATATAGTAAATAAGTTACAGTATTGGAGAAGAGAACTTGAGTGGCCAAGATATCTACAGCAGGAATTCGGAGGATCCGATCATAACAACAACATCTGAGTGTGCGCGAGTGGAGGCCTCGGCTACTTGTCATGTGATAATATTGAGGTTTATACGTAATGACGTCTACCACAAGCATGAATGACACCGAAGGAAAACCAGACGCTGGTGCTGGTAAGTTTGACTGAATGTTAATGGACCTTAATTTTATATAAGTGATGCAGGGAAGAGAATCAGATGATCGAGACGTTTAGGAGTGTTGTTGTGAGTCACAAGTAAAGTGCATTTCAAGGTCGCCCACCCCACATACATTATACAACCAGAAAAATATTATTAGTACAGGTATAATAAATTATATTAAAGGCAGAGGAGCAGTCACAGTAGTATAGTTTAATTTTAGTTGACATTCTTGAGGATGAAAATATTGTCAATATACTGTAGAATAGGAATCAACTATGCAGTACAAGTGACAAGGAATGTTGCTGTACTTTATCCACTTCACTAAATGTTGTGTCATTGCAACACATATGGTGCTGTTGCAACATTCTCTGGCACTTTATTTCAAGAGTTCACAGTTCTTACTCCAAATTAAGGCATTACCAATACTGTACAGGCTATAAGAGTTCATATCATGTCTCCCAGGAATTTATTAGGAAGAGAGCATTTGTAAGGCATACTCATGGTGGTATTAAGCTAGTAGGTCTTACAAGGTTATTTAAATACAATATCTAGACGGTCCTTCCCTCATAGTGCTCTTCAAGAGTGAGCTGCTGTCCCCGAGATATGCTAGAGACTGTCATTTGATTGAAAATTTCCAAAGGAGGGCCACCACTGGTGCCTGCATTACGGCACCTCAGTTACCCAGACAGTGCATGCCCAGTATTTGTCAACAGTGTGTAACAGATGCATGAATGACCACTTATGCGGCTAACAAGCCGGTCAGTGGCGTTGAGGATAAAAGTAATACATGTACTACTGTAATGTAATGTATGGTGATTTTGTCCTCTTGTCAGAATGACCTTCAATATAAATGTAAAATCAACATTTTTGCATTTAACAAAAATAGAATTGGGTTAAAATTAAGGGGGAACTTTGTTAGCTACTCTGCATTATCTCATAACGATTGTAAATATTTACCATAATTTGAACAAATGTTAGTGTTGATATGATTTCACACGTAAAAAAAATCAGTTACAGGATCAATACAGTAAAGATACTGTACCTGTGTCAGTATCAAGAGAGTTACTGTATCACTTTATTTTACCATAGTTTTAGATAAAATTTTCAGGCCATCAGTCACCATTGCATTGCCTTTTAACTATGTATAACTACAGTAGTACAGTCATTATGTGTAAATTAACATTGAAAGAATAATATGATTCTAAGTTCAATATTTTAATCTTAGTTTCATAGCATAATTTGCTAATTTTTATTTATTAACAGACGGAACAGTCACTTTGATGAGCCAAGCTGAGTACAATGACAAGCTGGAAACTCATCAGGCTCTTGTGCAAGCCAAGTCAGGAGAATTGGTGAGTTATGTAAAGTTAAGCTATTACAAGCCTGTTTGGTTGGCTTTATCTTACTAGCCTATAAAGCTAATTATCTTACTAGCCTTTAAAGCTAGTTATCTTACTAGCCTACAAAGCTAGTTAGATAAAGCCAACTAAACAGGTTTTCTTCAAATATACACTTTTATCGATCTATCACTTTACTCCTCTCGTAGCTTAGTATGGGGTGGATTAAAGGTTACAATACAGACACCTCAAGAGGACGTGCACAAATCATTAACCTCAAAAACAGCTGGAAACAGTGATTAAAAAAATGCATCAGTGAGTCATACTTTTCCTCTTATCACCTTATTCTCATTGAAAATCCAGTATAGTTTATATGTGTTAGTAAGGACACTCTTGTTTTTCTGTATGATTGTACGTATTAGTAACTATGAGACAAGTAAACTGGGCTGATTAAGGATGGAAAGCAATACAGTATTATATTCCTCTAAAAAAAGATGTTTCCCCCAACAGACACAGCTGATGGAGACGCTGAAGAATGTGCGCGAGTGTAAACAACCCCTCACACAGGTGAAAGACACCTTGCAACAAGAAATCAACATTGCAAATGGAGCAATTAATACAATTTCAGAAGAAGCTACACATCTGAAGCAAAAGGTGTGTTAAAAGTAATACCTTGTAATGTATTGTTACAGTACAGTGCTGTAATGAATTAGGCATATAACAAGTATTTTCTAGACTATTTAAAAACAGATTTGTATTAGTTACATAATCTTCGCTTTAGAGGTGTGTGTACTTCATCATCCACCTCGTTGTCTCCTCTCTACTGCAAGTTCCTTCAACCTTGGGGTCTTACATATTTTACCCCCACCCCCCTTTCCTCCCTCCCTCATCTCTATCTATTACTGATGCTCTCCAGTTTACATCATAGACAACCTTCCTTAAGTCTCTCCTAGCAGCATCCTCCCACCCCACTCTAGGTCTGTCTCTCAATAACTCCTCTTTACGTCTATTCATCCAATATCATCACCAGCCTTTCTTCCTCCTACCACCTTACTCTACATTCCTCCCCATCTTTACAGTAATTCTCTCCACTTATCTATAGCGTGTTTTTCCCCAGCTGAGAAAAGATGCCCCGCAAGCAACTTCAAATTTTCCCCGCCTCTGCTGATGGTCGTGTGATATTTCAATGTGATTCTGATCTTTTAAAATGTTGTTTTTGCATAATATAGTATTACTGATACGAAATTTGTCTTAGTATGCCTTATTGTGGGTAAAAATAAGTATATATTAAGTGCATCCTCCGAAAGTGTGAATTGGGTCCGACTAATTACCCAAATGTAGCCGCAATATAGTCAAATAATGGTCCTACATGAATAAATCGGGTTACCAATCACTTCTCGACTAGTATTTGGTGTCACAAAGTAAAAAAAAAATTGGAAAACGTAATTTAATTTGAGTTAATAGATCAAGTGCATGTACCTAACCTAACCTAACCTAACCTAACCTAACCTAACCTAATCTAACACAACACAACACAACTCAGATTAAATTAAGTTTACCAATTTTTTGTGACTTTATGACACCAAATAATAATCGAGAAGTGATTCACAGCCCAATTTACGCTTGTACGACCATCATTTGACTTCATTGCGGCTACATTTGGGTAATTAGTCGGACCGTGTGAATTTGCTACCCGAGTTTAACAGTTATTTCATGTATAATACTTCTGATAAACTTCCTACGTGCTTATGTTTGAAATAATGAATGTGTGTATCTTTATATAATTTAGCTAAATATCTTTCTCGTCAGAAACGGTCATCCCAACGATTATGAATAAACTCATTTAGAAATACTTCATTACTTCTGGACAAAATTGGACAGGTTTGCAACAGCCAATCAGCTTTAACTTTTGAGGAGGGGGCCGGGCATCTTTTCTCAGCTGAGAAAAAATGCACTATAGTTAACTTTTATCATGCTTCCTCACTCCTGTTATCATTATCTTCCATTTGTTCTCATACCTGTAGCCTCTACTAGTTTGTTCCATTGAAACATATGTCTCCATCTCACAAAGGAAGGCTGGAGTTAAATTCATTAGATCATTAAACAAACTAAAGCAACTGATATTTATAACATGAATACAGGGAGTACAGATAAGTTAGAGACATGAAAATCAAGGAATAATTTGAACTTGCCGATTTGCCAGTTGAATCAGTCAGATACACCAGGAACCAGTTTAAGATATAGTTATGTTTGTCTTACGTGTGTTTGGTTTTCAGCTGCGATATCACAGTGTAAAGCAGATACACGGTAATATAGAGAGACTGGAGTACCAACTGCGAAACAACAACTATAAACCAAGGGAAGAGCAGAAGATCTTGGATGAGATATCTATGCTGCAGAGATCTGTTAAAACTCTTCGGGAATATGAAGCCAAACAGGTTAGTACCATACAGTTGAGTAGTGTATTTTAAACTGGAAATCTTTACTCAAATGACGAAATAGTTCTTTTGTCATATTAGAACACTCTCCGGTCCACAAACTAGAACCTGTCTGACTATCCTGTATCATGACAGGAAAAAATTAAACAATGGGGAGTTTTTATAAATGTTATCTTTACTATACTTGCAAGCCTCTTCCCACTGTGCTGCAGGATGTTTGAAATTAAGAGCGAATAAATTAGGGTTTATTAATTTCAGGCCGAGAACAAAAAATATCGTGCAGAAAGAGCAAGACTGATTGAAGAACGCAATAATAATTACTCGAAGATCAGAGCCCTCTATGCTCAAGAAGATGATATAAAGAAATCAATAGCTACTGTCAGGGGAGATATTTCATCAAATAAGAAAGGTAAGTAGATGCTATTTAATTGAATTTTATTTATTTTTTTGCGGGAGATCTTTAGACATCTAGCTACACACTGAGGCCAAGATTGCAAGTGTGAGATAATGTATATAGAAGTCACAGACATCCACAGTAGCCTTAAAAGCCAAATACAAAATACAGTACAGTATTTATACATTTCCTGCTCAGAGTTAAAGTACAGTATGTTAGAGTTTTGTCTCAATATTTTCTCCTTCAGTTAAAATCCTACACGGTGTGGTATCATGAGGTAGGTTAAAAATAGTGTGAGTGTCTTCCCATCATTGCTAAGTTATTCACTTCAAATTTCTGTTGATTAGTTATTGAGCTGTTAGGACACACACACAGGACAGTTGTTTTCAAATGTTTTTGTTCCCCTAGCTATTGACCAGCTGAGACAAATGAAACCCAAGCTGGAACAAGGATGGATGGCTCACCACCACAAGCTCCAGGCTGCACGGGCCAAACGATACGAAGAAAAGAAACGCCTACGGCAAGAACACACAAGAGAGCGTCAAGAGGAAAGACGAAAATTATGGTAAGTTTGGTTTTGAGATGCTTGATAAGCTACTGGTAAACAATAGTTTCTTGTAAGTTGTGGTTTAGGTTTGATCATCCATGTAAGTGTATCTGTAGGACTTTCTTGTATGTACAATATATGCTGCACCATGAGCTGTTACACTTCATTCTGGCCTAAAGGCTCTCTCTCTCTACTTACTGTAATTGTAATACATAGTGATATACAGTATACTGTACATGTCTTCAGTTTTAAATTATGTCTGGACTGTACTCCGTTACTGTGTATGATAGATTACGTCCACAACAAACCGTGGCACCTTTCCTCCCACAGTTTAACTCGGTCACTGTTGGTGTTATTTCTTATACACACTCATTGAATTTCTTCTACAATCCCTAAACTACCTACTGTACTGTACTAGCCTTTCTCAATTAGAAGTTTTTCTAACTAATTAATGTTATATGTACTTGTATATATTTTAAATGTTAACTCATTATTTGGTTCCTCTTAATGAAAATTCGAGTAGTAAACATTTAAACCATACACCTTCATTCTTCTTTACAACATTTTCTTCTTATATTGCTTCATCAAGTGTCTTTGTATCAACCATATACCATTCTTGACTTGCTTACTGTAGAGCAAAATATGATTTTTATAAAATTGTACACCAGATTGCATGAACTGACAAATAATCTTTATTTTCAGGGAAGAATATGAGGCAAGTAAAGAGCCTTATGAAGAAGAAAGAAAACTGTGTCAAGTTTTGATCTCATACTTGCAGTCTTCACTAGGAGGAAGCACTCCATGTACACCAGCATCTTCAGCTAGCCTGCTGTTGTCTCCAAGTACTCCAGGTCTAACACCTGCTACCACTCCATCAACACCAAGGTCATCAGCAACCTATTTATTTTCTCCTAATACTCCAACCAGAACAGCAGATGTCAGTTCACCCTCAAAAAACCAGTCATTAAATAATACAAGTAGTTTAAATAAACCCTCAACCTCTTCAGAGAGTAATAGTAGTCCCTCCAATATGATTCCACCAGATACTTCAGGTTCATTTTATTCTAAACCTAAAGATGATGATGATGGTTTCATTAAAGTCAGTAAACGACATAAGGCAAAGACAAAGAGGGAACAAAGAATGGCAAGCCGTGTGAAGGAGTTGCCTCACACACCCGATGTCTTACTCAAGTTCTCCAAGCTCTCTATACCTCCCCCGAAAAATACTGATCAAGTTGCAGCAACAATTGTATCTATACAAGATTGTCTGCAACGTTTTCATACTTTATCTCTAAGTGAAACTAATCAGGTTCATGAAGAAGAGCCATCAGAAGATGCAGGAAAACTCGGTGAAACAAAATATTTAAGACCCACTAGTTTATGTGTGAAAGGGAGTCTAAATCTTATGGGAACCACAGATTACAAAGCACTAGCAACTCCTGTTGCTTCCTCCAGTACTGCTGGGTTAGAGCACAGTTTTCCAGGTACTTCCTCCCCAGGCGTCCACCAACAGACAATTTCCACCACAATACCAGTTATCAGTGTTGCTTCACCAGGTACATCCTGGGCACCTGTCATATCTCCAGACCAATTTTCTACTAGTGATATACCAAGTAATCTAAATCAAATCACAAAGAGTACCCAGAATAATCAACCTATGTATAATGGAGTTCATCCATCAATAAGTAGAATAGCAGAACAAAGTCATATAGCACAACATGAACTAAATACCATACCAGATATACCACCAGAAATGAAAATGTGCAAAGACATTGTCTCTCAAGGAAACAATGAATCTTTTTTCTCGATGCCTGTATCATACCCAAGCAACTTGGTAGAGCTAAACAATAATGCTGGTTGTAGCTATGCTGCAGTAGCTGCTAAGGTCAATTGTAATGCTTTTGGTTTGAATTAATATATTTGTTTTAATTGTGCAATTGTATGGTGTTATTTTAAGAGCTTGGGTTTTATTTAATTGTACAGAATAATATTTACACTCAGTCTAGTCATTAATTTAAACTCACTTTATAAAATGTATATAAAAATATTCTGTTATTTTATCAATTTATGCATTCATTGTACAGTATTGTTATGCAACTAATATATATTTTACATATTTGTTGCAATGTTTCATTTAATAGGCCTTTATTGTTTATTGATACCTTTTATTTTGTAAAATGTTTTATATTTATGTGTTATTAAACATCAGCAGTGTCATAGTCAGTATTACTGTATGTGCCATTACATAATGTACTATGAATGGAGGAAGTGGCTACAGACCAGGTCTGATTACCTTTCCTTCCCCCAATTAGTGCCAGAAATGCCATAGCACATACAGTACAAGATAAAAGGCTTTTGCACAAAAGAGGTCAATTTAGTTAGACATGTGCCTGTACTGTACTGTAGTACGCATGTGTAATGAACTGCAGCAACACATTACCAACATATCTTAAGGTCATTGGGTTATGTTTGGTCTGACTGATTCATGTCTGCTGTTCTTAAGTGGTCTGCTGTACCCAAGATATGCTTAGTCACCTATAGTAAATACAAATTGGGAGTCAGTACAGTAATAGCCTTGAACATAATGTTGTTTGTAATAATTGTTGTATGGATATAACAAAGGGCTTAACGTATAGGTGTTGGAGCACTAACATAAGGTGTTACAGTACTTTACGTCTAAGTCTGATACCTAAAGCTAAGCAGGGAAAATAAGGTGATATGTACTGCTTTATAATTTGAATTTGGTGATCCTAAAGACCTTAGCTCTTATCCAACCCTTATTGCCTGGGAAGACGACACCTACACACTGGATGATAACAAAACCTATTCTCAGTTTGCTGAAACACATACTGTGATTTCAACTGTATTACAAAACTTGGTGAAAATGGCACAAAATACTTAGCAGTGTATCTCAACAATTATGCTTTTAAAAACAATATTTTACAAACTGTTTTGTCACTGAGTGGTGCGAAACCTTAATCCATTTGCTACGGGGTGCCACTTTTAATACAGTACAGTATTTTATTTGGTTAGGGCAAGACAATTTTATTCAGCAAAGAGGAGACCCCATACACAAGGAGTTAAAGTCTCTGAGTTGTAATATTCCAGTAGAGATCAGCTTCATGCACAAGCTCTGTGGAAAAGCCTACACCATTACCTCAATAAAATAATCAAACACTACAGTGAAGTACAGTACTGTACTGTATCTGTCAACACAAAATCTACTTTAAGAAATATCCTGTTTTTCAAAAGATCTGAACATTCTATAATACATAGGATGCTTATGAATTAATATTTTACATGTTATATGAGAGTAAATAAGGAGAAATTGGACAATCAGGTAACTGGCTGAGTGACTGTGTGTGTAGTGGTGAGTCTACAGTACTTGCCTTAATATGAGTTTGAGGAGTAAGTCAATTGGTGACTGTAAGAGAATGATGACACATTGAATGCTATTTGAAGATTTAATAATAGTGAGAGAGAACAAGTTAGTGTACAGATACAGTATTTATAGAAATTCATAATACAGTACTGTAATATGATTATAATACATGCTTTCCTTGGTAACATGTTCATAATAATAATAACCTTACATAATTATCCAATTTACAGAAGCCTCTCAGTCCAAGACTCTTGAGGTTACATGTACTGAACTTGACTTTGTTATTTGAGAACTGATGTGCATAGAGTGATCTTATAGGTGCAGTACCCTGGCATTGTGAGGGAAGTACATGTACAGTACAGCACAGTAGCAGCACTTGCAAATGTATAAAATTTTTCGAGGTTTTACATTTTGTCAACTAGCTACTGATAGATTTGTCTGAACCCTGGACAATAATGGCTATCAGGTCGTATTACCGTACATTTTTTTTTTAAATACAGCCCATGAATAAATTTTATTCAAAATAGATGCATGGATAAGATTTGTTATCAGTGTACATTACTATACTGTACTGTACTTGTAAACATATGCACAAATCTACAGACCCAATGGTGGTACTGTACTGTATTGGCAAGGTTGCTAATAAAATGGGGCCTCATCCAAATATACCCTGAACTACTTAAAACATATTGTTCACTTTTGTGTTTGTGAAATGGAAAATTGACAGCCACACTTTCTATAGTTGTCTGCAGTTTGTACATTTGTTTATCCCAACCCCCCATGTGATCAAAGTTTATCCGTCCCTTTGTCTGTTGGTTGTGTTGGTACCTACAGATAACTTTTTCTGTGTTATGAAGAACATGAGAAATCACATTAATACCAAATCTGTGTTTTAATACAATTGTACCTCTATGTCCATGTATGTTGTCCAAACTTTATCCGTCCGTTTGTATGTAATGTTCATAATCCATCTGATAATACGTTATAATGTTCAACTTGTTATCTCAGCTCTCATATCAATTAATCATCTCTATAATTTCCCCCCTTTCTTTAAGGTTTTTACAGCTTGCATGTTAAACACACACATACACACTCTTCTACCTGATGGTATATCTTGTTCAGGTAGCTATTTATTGTAGAGGCTTAACATGTTCTTATTAAGACTGACTCCTTTGACACTATGGAGAATGAGCCATTAATATCATGACCTGTGCAGTATTACATGACTATGGAACTGAACAGTTAATCTGGCAGTTTACTGAAGGTATTATTGTTACACAAGAAAACAACATGTACTGTACATATACAATAGTGTAGTGTGAAAGGTCAACACTGTCTTCGTGAATTATCATTCTGTGTTTCAGTCATTCAGTTATTGTTTGCTGATGTTAATAGCTGTACTAATATATTTGATGACTCCTCTACACAAGAGTTATGATGCAGTGTGAAATATCAACATTATGGGTGAAAAAAAAGTCATTCTGTGCTAAAAGTCAATTATAGTAAATGTTGAAAGCTTGAAAATATTCACAACATTCTTCAGTTGCTAATACAGAATGCACAAGTGTTTTGTTTGAGGCTTTATAAAATGTATGCAATAGGCACTTTTAACTTTGATACAAAGCTTATAATTGCACAAACTCTTGTAAATAATGGATTCCTTTGGAAAACTTATTAAAAAAAAGTTAAATATATATTATATATCTATACATTATCACGGTAGTTTCATTTACAACCTTTCATTAAGTTTAAGAAAATCTGAAAATTATATTATGTATACCTTTATCATCTTAACTGCAATCATGAACATCAAATAAACTTAAGGGTAATGAATATTTAACATTAAAAAACTGTACTGCACAAGGTTTACCTGCCCAAGAAAACTGATAAAGTTACACTACTAATTGCTGGCAACAGGAATATCAAGGGTGGGGGAACAGGACGCTCACAGCAAGTCCAGTATATTACCGATCTCCATCATTGAAGCCAATCTTAGTCTCACTTTATAAGGCTGACTTCTGGTGTCCTCGTGTAAAATCTAAAGCGTTAATAGATTATTCTACGCCTTAAAATTTCAAATTACAATACAGTACAGTACATGAAACAAATGTGGGTCAGGTAAAAAAAACTAGTGTAATAACTTTACGTCCCTCACCTGTCACCCTACTAGTAATAGTACTCTACTTTAATTTTATGGTACAGCAAAGTACTAGGTAAAACCACTACCGTACTACCAGTACTATCAAAACTGATCACTAATGTTTAATCAAAGCTATAGAATATGGTGTAAGTAATTTTATAATTTCATCACTTACTAGCAGTTCGGGCAGTTGGTCTATTCTTAGTTATGGCCTTTAATGATCAGTGTTAGTATAGGAGGAAATATACGAGTACCCAACCGGATAAAACCTGCTATGGTAAGGTTACACTGGATACCACACCTGCCTCACTTCTGGGTCGGGGACTGAACCCAGGACACATTCGTAAAATACCCCCCCCCCCTCCCTCCCTCCCTTTATTATGTAATGTTAAATTTATATGGCGATTTTACTCATTCTCTAAAAATCTATGGAATTTAGCAGTGGTGTTTATGGTATTATTTTCTTAACTTTAAGCAGCATGAGGTTGAGTCAGATGGTCAGGTGAACGCCCTCTGTTCGTATGTTCATATAAATAATATCAAACTTAACTCTATAAACCCTAAAAATATACATCCAGATTAACAAAAAAAAATCTCTCTCCAAAAAAAAATAAAATCCCAAAGACTTTATATAACCAGAATATAAATTAAAAACTCAATTAAACTTGGAGGCAACTATTCGAACACAATGTTATGGCGTCCTCAGAGTCGGTGGATGTTCCGTAAATAGACTTTATTATCCCCCATATATCATACCTGACCTTCACTATTCTATTGGGCTCACAGAACAAACTTTCAAGGTGGGTTAGATTTTGTGTTGGGTATATAAATTAATGGTTGTTGTCTTTAAAAGTGTGTAAAGTAAATGGATGGTCATATATGTTTATAATATTGGTTTAGGATGTATAAAGATATTTCAGGTATATAATTCAATATGTATAAGAACAGTATAGGTATAGTCTTTATAGTTCAACATGTATATAGGTAATTAGTGTTTATAACCCGTGCAGGCAGATATAGTCCAGTGTGTCTAGACAGTGCAAGTTCGGGGTCTGACTAATTACCCAAATGTAGCCGCAATGAAGTCAAATAATGGTCCTACATGAATAAATCGGACTGCTAATCACTTCTCGATTATTATTTGGTGTCATAAAGTCACAAAAAATTGGTAAACTTAATTTAATCTGGGTTGGGTTGGGTTGGGTTGGGTTGGGTTGGGTTAGGTTGGGTTGGGTTAGGTTGGGTACATGCACTTGATCTATTAACTCAAATTAAATTACGTTTTCCAATTTTTTTTTTACTTTGTGACACCAAATACTAGTCGAGAAGTGATTGGCAGTCCGATTTATTCATGTAGGACCATTATTTGACTACATTGCGGCTACATTTGGGTAATTAGTCGGACCCGTGCAGGTATACAACAAAGCTATCAGGGGTTACGATTCAGAAATGGGAGGTCATCGAACTTAATAATTAAATAGTGATGGTAAAAAAAAGGTAATTATATAGGACTAACCTTCGGGCGAAATTGATTGAAAACAATTATAAAAACGCCGGATTTTCATTGTTATATTATAGTGGACACTGTTGTTGTTTGTGGAAATGTTATAAAACGGATATTTTTAAAATAAATGCTACTTAACATTTGTGGTTATGAAGAACAGACCTAACCAAACAAACCTACCTAACCTTACCTAACTTCACTGTTATATTAAACAGAAAGAACTTACTCTACTATGTTATGGTGAAATGTGAGGCATTTCTGGACGTGAGATGATACGGCCCCATCGGTGCTATGTAGCCTGGCGGGTTAGTCCTATATATTAACCAAAAACAATAATCCTTTACTGTATCAAGTTTCTGTCATAAATTTATATATTTTAGTGTTTTAGATTTTGCTTAGCTAGTCACAAAATGGACTCTGGGTACAATGGGTGTTCTTTGTCACCTTTACAAACTATCATCGCGTCTTTGAAAATGAAGCTGCTGCTATTGACATTTTTTAAGACATGTTATTCTGCCAACTTCTGTGAATTATGCAAAGTACGATTCAGATTGTAACTACCGTCAAGATAAGAACCTTTGATTTTGTACTAAAAGACGAACTAAATGACGGAACTTGCCAAGACAGAAATATCCTCACTGACTTTGCATTTAAGGGCACTTCGTTGACCAAAGTACAGTACCTCCTTTATATTCCAGCATCTGATAATTTACGGTATGTAAAATCAATGTAAAGTTTGCTTGGTAAGGTTAGTTTTATCCTGTTATTACCCCACAATTTACCCTCTAGCACTTCATAATAACTAAAAAAAAATTAAATTTACGATAAAAATGCGAGTAAGGGCATGTGAACGAGTATCTCATGACAAACACTTCTGCCGATTGGTTGAGTCAGAAGTAAACAATGTATATCTCCATGAACTTGTACTTTCCTAAGTGAAATCAGTCAAATTACTCAAAACTCTCCCTAAATAAAATTCAATAGAATTCCATGCATGATCACTACTGACTATTAACTAAATGTATAACTGTCTGACCCTCCCCCCCTCATTATAGCACAGGCAGGCCAAAATTTAGAACAAAAAACTCCTCTCAATTGGTGGCTTAACAAGCAGATTCCATAATTACAGCAAGGTTAGATTTAACATACACTGTACGTACATGGCACCATGACGCTCCCATACATTTTTGTCAGTACTATACACTACAGACCAGCATTATTTCTCAAAACTTTCAAAATATTGTCATTTAATTTGGATCATACAGGTACAGGTATTATTTTTCATATTTCAACAAGTAAAATATATGCAGGAAGCGTCATCTTTTACAGTGCGAGTCAACATAAACCGTATGTTAGATGGGTATGGGAGGCTGTCCATAGTTATGTTAATCTGCTTTATTTTTAACATTGTATTTTTTTCTTTACCACAGGACTAAAGATGTCGTCCATTAGTGATACTTCAACGTGGTTAAAGTTCTTCACTGAAGCAGGCATCCCTGCTGGAGAAGCAACAAATTATGCCATCATATTCACAGACAATCGCATAAAACAAGACATGCTCCTCGATCTGAATCGAGATTATTTACGGGATATGGGCATCACTGTCATGGGCGATATTATAGCAATATTGAAGCATGCCAAAGTTTATTCCGGTCAGTTATCTCGCCAGAGAGTCTTACAGACCTCGATGCCACAAGCTTCCCAGCATGATACAGGCGCTTCACATTCATCTAGTAAGAAAAGTACACCTGCAACAAGAATGCTAGAGCACTATGTCCGGAAAGAAGGACCCCCTTCTCCTCCCAACAACTCTAATCTCTCTCAGAGTTTGTCAGCACGTTTGGGTAGTGGAATGAAAAGGTCAGTTGAAGATGACGACTCGTCAAATACCAACAAGAGGAGCTCGGTATTCAATAGATTAGGTGATAATTCTGTGACAAGCACTACCAGTGAAAACCCCAAGATCACAATCACGATGCATGGGAAGGATATCATTCGCACAGCTACAAGCACCGATAGTAATAAAAAATCATCACCATCTGTGTTTGGTAGACTAGGTAACAAGGATGATGGTGCAAATGGGGGTGCTGTTGAGCGTGAACTTAGTCCTGGAAAACCATTAGAATATCAAGGAATATTAAAGTATTCATCCAACGACAGTTTTGAAAAGCCTAACTTTACAAGGAAGAAGATTGTAACGGCCATTTCAGGAGGTACCAAAGTTGCAACTATGTCTGCAGATACTACCACAGGTATCAAGAGCAGATTGGGACTCCAAAGCTCCACATTAATTAGTGCATGTACAAGCGCTGGAATATTTGCGAGAGAGACTGAAGAGGCACGTAAATCAAAATCGTCAACCAAACTGACTCTGTCAAGTGGTGGTACTTCCAATCAGTTGAAAGTTAAGACATTATCACCAGGGAGAACAGTAGTTTCAGCAGCTGCCACATCTTCATCAAGTTCATCTTCAGGAAAAAAATTTGTAAAAAAAATTGTAAAAGTAAACAAGAAGACTGGTGAAATTGTGAGTGAAGAAAAGATACCACTAAAAACTGATGTCTTTAGTAGACTTGGTAATTAATTATATTTGACATAAAACTAATTATAATACAGTATATTAAAGAATTAAGAGTATGCATGTATATATATGGTATATATGTAACTCAATTGATTAAGTCACTGCCATTTTTACTGTGAGCACTTGGAAAGAGTGCAGGGTTGTGCTGTACGAACAAAGTCTCAAGTTCCTATGGTTGGCAGAGATTTAAGTTTGGTATGCTAGAGGGCTTTGGCATCACAAATTATATGACAATTGGTGTTTTGAGGTAACAAATGTTTTCTTCATAATTTCTCTCAATGATTATAACTGTAAAAATTGATGGGAAAATAATTCTTGGTATTACAATCTCTAAGATTATTGTAACTTGCAGAATTCCACCAACTGCATTTTAAAATAGCAACATTACTGTGTACTGATCCCATTTTTATGTAAAATTTAATGAAGCCTTTAGTATCCAAAATTATTTCAGTACAGAACAAAATAGACTAAAACAAAAATTAGTTAATTTAGTTAATTATTAGTTATGCCAAGAATAAAAATATCTACTTTATGTAAATATCAACAAGTTAACCCCTGGGCTTCGAGCTATGGTCGGCACCCCCCCCACCCCCCTAACAGGTATATTCAGTAACATATAAAAACAAATAAAAGCAATTCTAGTTTTACAAACTGGCCATACATAATTTAAACAGGAATTAAATAAATGTCTTTACCACAGGTTGGCAACACCAGGGCTAGTAATAGTCGAGAATGTTGGTGATGTGTGTGACGCCGTAATAATGAGATAAACAACATTAATTTGAAGGCAGTATGAGGTACAGGACACTTATTTTACCGTTATTACTATTAACAATATTTATTACCAATCCATTAATTGATCATAATACTGGATAAGTGCTTGGGGATAGAAATGGTGAAGCAAGTCGAGTCCAAGGGCAAGATGCCTATACCACAAAAGCTGAATAGGGACTGTGAGGCTCTCATGTGTGAGCGAGAGATAAATAGAGTACCTACTTGGCTAAGTAATCTAGCCAGGTCCGCCCTTTTTATTCAAATAGGCTCTCAAAAGATCAAAACGCCATGCGACGTGACCCAAAGCCCAGGGGTTAAAGGTATACTGTACTTCATTTTTAGTTCAGGACAAGTAAACATTGTCGTACTTTACATTTCATATCATTTCAAGGTGCAATGTGTTGGTACTGATACACAACCCCATCTTCTATCACCAGGAAATACTGCTTTTGTAATACTGTATACAGTACTGTATATATGTATATATTTATACGTACATATATTGTCCAAGCAAATTTTTATTCTGTATAAAATTTTGTTTTGTTTTATGTTACTGTTGTTGAATAGTTACAATGATACAGTAGACGTTCATGTGTGTTCAACATCTTAAGTCATGGCTACAAGGTTTGCAGTCTTTGATACCTGTACCATTATTTAAAAAATGTCCTTAAATTTCATCTAGTGACAACAGAAGAATACTGTATCTGTACAACAGTTTAAAGTTATGCCTCAAAATTTCGAGCAACAGCAAAGGTTAGATTTGTTTCTTGTGTGAACAAACTTATTTTCCATAATTAGATTTTTTTTACCCCTTTTCCAAAATGTGAATCTACTTTACCAAACACTCCATGAAATATCTGACTACTGTACATAATATTTAAACTACTACAGTAAAATGTTGACCCCACAATTTCAAGTGGATTAAATATTGGTGGTGCTCATGATGATCACACAGATGCCTTACAACGGCGGGAAAGTTGAAATCAATTAAGTGTACTGTACAGTATATAGTTTTCTGAGAGCTGGAAGAAACTATAATGTTCAGAAATTGGAGACCTGAATGAGTGACAATTACAGTAAGTTTGGGGTCCTCAGAGATACTGTATTGATATTGGGGTAAGGATACATGACTTTTGTGCAGCTATTAACATGTGGAAAAAGTACACACCCTTAGCAGTATATGTATGGAAATATGCAGAAGATTGATCAGATCAGTTTGTTTCAACAAGCAAGGGTCCATGATAAGCAGAAAAATAGTTAGTAAGCAAAAAAACAACAGTTTGGTCTTGATCACACACATTACCAAGGTGCGGGCAAGGAGTACTGTACCGACGCTCCCTCGAGGTGCGTGGCTGGGCGACACATTACTCCCTCCACCTGCCACTCTGCTTCACTGCTACGCCACACAAACTACTTCTCATACGTTAATACTATGAACCAGTTGTACTTATGTCAGATTCTTAGAATAACAGACCTCAGAGGACCTCATTCATATCGGCGGGTGTTTGTAAGTCGGACGTTTGTAAATTGGGGACCCCCTGTATTCACAAATTTTCATTGCAACTGGTATTACTGATTTTGTATGCTGCTGAAATGTGCAGGCGAACGAGTTTCCACAAGAAACTGCCAGGTGTCACTACTGCAGCTTCCCTCCTCTGCCTCACTTGTGTCACCTGCCATACTGTGTACAGGCAACCCCCGCATTACGGAAGCCTAGATTATGGAAATTCGCTCTTACAGAATTTTGAAATTACGTATGACCAAAAAATTCGCCCTAAAGGAATTTGGTTCAAATTTTTAATGTTTCCAAAGAAAAAATCGCGATACAGGTATACAACAAAAGAAATTCACCGGAATTTTAAAATTTATCTCTTGTGGATTCTGGGAGATTGGTAAAAGATGGTTGGAGGAAACTGTGCCTACCCAGCACAACAATGACACTGCTCAGTTTGAATTTGCTCCCTGGCTTGTGTTCAGTTTTGTGTCTGTGTTACTGTGTACCTTTATTCAAGATGAATGGGAAAAGGCCATCAAGTTCAAGTCAAAGCAGTGGTGCTGAAAGATTCCATAAAGGAATTATATTGGATATTAAACTTGATAATTTAAGGAGGTAACTCCCAGTACATAACTCCAATTGTACCACCTCACCTCAACATCATTTGTGGTGAGTTAAGTGTGTGCATTTATTGTCATGTTACATCACGAATGAATCATTGTATGTGTTTATTTAAGCCTACACATTTAAGCACAAGAAACCTTCACTTTCATAATGTTCACTTATCAATGTTCTAACAACAGAAATTACAATATTTGTTTTGCAACTGAAACAACAAACACAAGTTTAAGATAAATAACATCACTTTGCTTACATGTTTTATTGTACTGTACTTTTACTTAGAACATGTAGGGGTTGTTAAGTATTAAGGACACTGTAATAAAACAGTTGCAAGTAGAAAAGCAAAACGAAAACAACTAAACCACAACACTTGGATACACGACATTTAATATTTATAAAAATCCAATTCTAATGTGTTAAGTCATTGTTACATCACACATTACAAACAACAAGTTCTCATTTCATTCATCTTTGTTACCATGACCGGTGTCTACATTTGAAGGCTTAAAAAGAAAGAAAAGTTTTGCTGCTTTTTCTGTACCAAGGCAGTTCCTTAGTTTCAACTGAACAAATCCATAAGAGAAGACTCATTCAACACCAGAAGATGAGGCCACTGCTGACAAATTTAATTGAAATTAAAATTATAAATAAATAAATAACCACTCTGTTTAACCTTTAAACGGTGGCCATCATCAGTGGATGTTAGCTGCAGGATGGCAGCCAACACCATTGGAAGTTTCAGGTTCCTTGCATTTTTTTTCCATATGGCAACACAGGCAAAACAACTCGGGGTTAAAACAAAACCTTTACATATACCAGTAAGGCTTAAACAGACTGAAGTTTAGTTTACCTGAGTAAATCACAAAGCAAAATTTGACAAATCATATCAACACTGAATGATTAATTAATACCAAAGTTTAGGAATTAATTTGGGTTTTTATTTTTAATTAGCTAAATTAAAATTTTGTTTCAGGAATAATTTTAATTACCTTAGATGTGGCCTGAATTGGTCAATATGGCTAGTAGTGTCGTTAGTTCAAATGAAAATGTTTGAAACTTAAAAAATACAGAAACATTAAAAACAATTTATTGTAACTTACTCCGCTGTTTAACGAGAGAGTTGGCTTAGTATAGTTAAACTTCCTTTAAATAATTTACTTGGTCATAAAGTTCAATGAAAGTTTAAGGGTCACTTCTTTCTGAACTACAGTACATTACATCTACTACTGTCAGTCAAAATATCATTACCAGTGAACTTATTCGCTATCATCAGAACTACTGTCCCAATCAGAGTCACATCCATATATAAAATCTGCATCACGGTAACCAATATTGGGGTTATTTTCAATGAGTTTCTTGGTATTCCTGATTATCCACGATGGGAGACTGTAGGATGTTGGAACCATCTTTCGTGTGGTTTGTTGATACTTGTAAACCCTTCCAGGATTCGTTGGATCATAGGGGAATATAACCACATTGTAATGATCCATATGTCCAAATGTTTTATATTCTGTTGAAGCAGAGAAGAAATTTTATAATCATAATATGCTTGAAAAATATTAGATTAATTCACCTACCGTACTGTAATATTATTTTGTAAAATGTTCAAATCATAGAATAAACTTTAGTACTGTATGATGAAAAGCCTGTAATCCCATATGTTTTGTTGTTCACTTTACGCGGTTTTCACTTTCCGCGGTACCCCATGGGTTCAATTGACCGCATAAATCGGGGTACTACTGTATAGGTAATAATTTTTACTCTAGTATACAGGGGTACTTTTTTTTTACGGTTATCCTTTATACCAATGATCATCTGTCTAGCCGGTTGGTGAGTATTCGTATTTGGTATTTGAATATAGCACTTCAGGGTATTCGTATACATTACTATTAGAAATCCAAGTAGTATTTGCATTCATATTCAAACCCTTGGGCAAAGTATTTATAGATATAACCATACAAGTGGTTGCTCAATTTATTTATTTATTTATTTTTATTTATCTATTTGCTTTTTTTTTGTATTATTATTTTTTAATGTACAATCGGCTTATTAACTCTGTGACCCAAGGCACCTGAGAAGCTATATACTGTACAGTACAGCATCATACAATGAAATTAAATATTGAAACAGACTGTTAGTATATAGCATACAACTCTCAGCCGTCATCATTGTGGTGAATAGGTTACTGGTGACACGTTCTTATCGTGCGAGATATATGCTCATGTGACGGCCAAATTGTAGCTTAAAAGTTGTAAAGAAGGTTCGAATATGATTCCGACACTGCCACACATTCGGAAAGGTCGCCGAGGGGTGGAACACTATACTGTACCTTTGGGTAGCTGCACATTTATTCAAAGGTCCACATAGACCCCAAAAATGAACGACAGCAAAAGGAAAAATGACACCAACTATTAAATATAGCATAATGAAGACAAGTTAAATGCTACTGTATAACTCCATACCATTTGATAACACCAAAACATCAACAATCTATTTAAAGAAATTCAGGTCGTGACATTCAGAACATTCCCAAGCAGCACGCAGAATGGGTTTAGTTCTACATTCCTGAATGACCAATTTCATGATTTTCTTGTGGGTTTTTTAATTAAAACTTATTGAATATACCTGTACACAGAATTGCATTATTACCTGTACCATGTGTGATGGCTGCAGCTGATAACTGATTTCTTGCTAGTAAAGTGGCTAATTACCATACAAAGGTACACCCCTGATGTCAAATATCTATTTTAAATAGTTTTTAATATGAGACAAACTATAGAAACACTACCTGATTCTTGATTGCTCAGCCACACTGAGGATAGCCTCTTTAGAGATGGTTCATGAAGAGGTATGGGTGGAAATTGTTGAAGAAGAGAGTAACGCTTTTTCATCCAGGTTAAGAAATTTGCTGAGAAGGGGCACTCAAGTAAACGTGAAGACAAAAAATAGTCAAAAGAAGCCTCCTGCTCCACTGTGTGGGCCAGACGACTAACTCCAGCAACCTTTTGCAATTCTTGGATGTCCTGTGTGGGAAGAATGTCCTCATTATAAACACTAAGCAAGTGGTCTCAAAATTTATTGAAGAACAGTGTATAGCTTCAGTTTGGCTATCCTTCTTTTCCTTATAATCTTAGTTAAAACTACTTAGACTGGGCTCCTATTGTATCAATAAATCACTTTCCTCTAATTACCGTCCAATCAGTTTAATATAAACAGTAGGAAAATTACTGGAAGCAATAGTTACAAACTTGATTCGACCTTGAGAAACACAAATTGATTAAGAATCCTCAGCAAGGCTTCATCAGCTGGCAATCATGTCTGACAAATATATTAGCATTCTTTTCATCAGTTTTGAAATCAGTTGAAAATCGACTAGATTATGATGTGGTTTACTTAGACTTCAGCAAAGCCTTTAACAGGGTCCCCCACGATAGATTAATATGTAAAATGGAAGCTCGTGTACCGTATTGGAAGAGATATTTTAACTTGAATTTGGGTTTGGTTAAAGGACAGGAAACAGTCAGCATTAATATCACTAAATCCGACTGGGGTAGCTTAACTAGTGGAGTACCCTATGGCTCAGTCCTCAGACCATTATTATATACATAAATGATTTAGATGTGGACGTAGATAGCAAAATGAGTAAATTTGCTGACAACACTGAAACAAGGCGTGTAATTAAAAATGACGAGGACTCCAAAAAGTTAAAGGAGGATCTAAACAAACTTTTCTCATGCTCTGAATAATGGCGGATGAAATTTAAAGTGGAAAATATAAAGTACGGTAACTTTGCCTAGGAAATGTAAATATGGAACCCAGTTATCAACGTTGACAGAGAAATCTGACGGTGAGAAAGATTTAGGGGCTAATGATGTGTAGAAACCTTAAACCGAGACAGCAATGTGTATATTCTGTATGCATAAAACGAGGGCAAGACGACGATTGGGTTCACATTTAGGTGTTAGTAACCAGACCAGCGAGGTTATCTGTAAAGCATATCTTATGTACATGAGACCTCGCTTGGATTATGTGGTTTAGTTCTGGTCACCGTACTACAGAATGGATCGATTCCCTAGAGAGCTTTCAGAGGAGGATAAAGCAAATCCCAGGCATTAGAGACCTCGAGTATGATATATTAAAACATGAGAATCTGCACTCCCTCAAGAGATGTTCACAAAATCAGGCCACACACAGATGGATGGACTGAAGTAAACCAATATATCCCAGCCTAAGAATGAAGCATGAAGAAAACAGTCAAAATGGCATCCAAATTACCTTGAAAATCCTACCTTTTTCACCAGTTCAGTGAAGTAAATAAATAACACCTTGGGCAGTAGATCAATACCCATATAAGCCTTAATTCAGTGTGGGATGGGTCAAAGGAGACAGTGCAGAGATTTTAAAGAATGGGAAATAATAGAAGAAAGGAATGCAGGAAAGGTCTGGAAGCAAAATCTACACACAGGTATCTCGGCTCAAATCCAAAATAAATCCACACACAGGCCTACTTATCAAAACCCTAACAAACACACAAAGTGAATCTGTAACATGCATTTAATTCTCACTGATTCATAAGTATTCACTGTGCATGGTGTCAGGTTCATTCCTGTTTACAAATACAGTAACTATAATATACTGTACAAGACTCGAACAACAACTTCAACAGACCTGGACTGCGAGGCCCACTAGGAGGTTTGTGATGATCACCGTTATGAGCAGCACAAAGATGATAAATATCAACTCGGGCAAAACTGCAAGTTAAAGGTATCTTGAGTTAATACAGTACTGCTGTTCACATTTTATCTGTTCCTGTAATTTTAATATCAAGTGGCATAATGACAGGGTCAGAATGTTGCTGAAAATTACAATGATTTATGAAGTGTAACCTGTAAATGTTACCAGAAAATGAAAGCGATTTAAACTTTTAAATAAAGCAACATGCTTAATTGGGTAATGGCAACAAATATTAGTAAACAAACCAGAAAGAAAAAGAAAATATGAGGAGGGTGGCACTTGATTGATTCTCCTTATGAACAAATACTGTACAGTACTATACCCCCTTCCCTGTATTATAAAACATGAGGTGGGTGATGCTGACCAATTCTTTGTACAGTAATCATATACTAGACTAAAATAACAAGAGATAGGTGACTGCTTCTCCATGCAAATATTAACAAAACGTGGACCCACTTTTTAAATACACTACAGTATTTGTTTGCATGGTGAATTTGTCTCCCCATGACAAATATTAAAAATGGAAAAGTGCCTTCCAGACTTCCTGAGAAGAGCACGACAATGCCTTCGACATTTAAGATATCGTCCTCAATTTAAGTTAACATACTGTACGTTATGAAGTAAGTGCAAAAGATCTTAACATGCTCTAGTGTTAATGTTGCTTACCCCATATCTTTTGATCAGAGTCAGAAGTTTCAAACAGTTCTGCAGTGTCTAGTTCCCCCACCATCATGACGAGTGTCTTAATGAAAGAGGACCACGCCGTTCTGAATGCCACCACCTCCACAAATGACAGGTGGAAACTGACTGCAAAACCCACAAACAGCGACAGGAACACAGCTGAGAACTTCATCATCTTCAGTGCCACCTGCAATACAGTATATAATGCTTTACATTAGTAGGCTGTACTCCCTGATATAGGTTTCAAAGCCAAATGGCATATACTGTAGTAAACTCATCCTTCTACATGCTGAAAATGCCTGTATTCAGATCTGTACCAGTATCCAATTTAGTATCTCCCTGCCCCTTCACAATTCCTGATGGCATCGTCCAGGGTTATTTTAAAGGCTATCGCATTTTGCTTCCAATTTCAGCAGGTAGACCGTACCACGTGACCGTGTGTTAGCTAAGAGTGGCCTGTGTGAAGCCTGACCAAAGCAGTTTCCTACCTCTTTGGTATTCAGTTATGATGTCCAGAGGGAATCTCATTTGTAATGTGGAGCTTGTTTGGGCCAACAGTGGCAACTCAACAATCTGCCAAGCATTACATATGGTAGTTTCAATCCCACGACACACATATAGGCGTGGTTAAAGCACAGGGAATGGGATGGAATGCAGTAGCCTTGGCCACTTTGCCTTCTCAATAGTCGACATATTTACGTCCCATTACCCAGCAGCCAGCAGAAACTGGCCTGACGGCAACGTCTCTCCCAAACGAAGATCACTCCTTGGTCAAGAAAAATGGTAAAACATCTCTTCTCAAGGAAGATAATAACTTTCAAGTCCGGGAAAATCATTGACGACTCCTTAATATAAATTGAAGTGGCTGTAAGTAACGCACAACTTCGGGTAACAGTTGGAAATATTACTCAAAATCCGGTAACAGCATCAGGTACACGTTTTACATCTTTTTTTAAGTACTGTACATCATACGAAATAGTGGGTTGTGTATATCCTAAGGCCCATTAGTAATATATATCTTTCATATATATAAATAAATAAAAATAAAGACCAGCATCTAATTGATATCTGCTTAAGTCTGGATCAGTTCAACATGTCGAGGTCAAATAAGTTTGTATTTTTTCCAGGTTTACAAAAAAATTTCCCTGGCATTTCCATGTTTTCCTGGGCAAAAAATAAATCTGACATTTAATGCATCCTCTAAAAACATCAGGTGTAGCATCTGTCCCTGATAATTTGTCTTTGTCTCGGTTTAGAGTCGACAGAACAGCACCTCAAGGGGAGTCCAAGGGGCAACTGCTAGAAACTTTATCAGACAAACTGGCTTATGAGAGATGGAAATTACCCAACACCACGGGAGCATGATATCCGAAAGGCCTAGATAACTGTAGACGATTTGCACAAACAAGTTAGTAATCCAACCCCCAGTACACACATGCTCGTTCAATGAAGAGGCTCAGGATTGAGCAAGCAATAAAAACCCCAATTACCGAAGAGGAAACGTAGCATTCATAGTATAGTATAATATTTTGAAGAAAACAATGTTCACCATACTGTTCAATATTTTAAACGTCTAACATTTTCCCTGTCATGTCCCTTCTTAAATACCTGTACATTATTGCCAGTCCTAAAGTTTACTGCCCCAGTAATACTCATTGTCATTTGTCAGTTTACTAGCTGGTTGAGCACTTTTTGATGAGCACAATACTGTACTGTACCGTTTGTAGATAAACGTAAGTGTTGGTCTAACCTCGGTTTTAGAGTTCACGCTTGTTACAACTTCCAACAAGTAGATTATTCAACGACTTCACATCTTACTAAAAAAAGTTATTTCAGGTTATTGTATTCTATACTGGTAGCTTCTTTACCTGGAAGCTGTATCCTCCCACTGAGGTGCATATGCAACCTCAATTAAGTCTCTCTTACTCTTCTGGACCACTGTAAAGGTTCTAGCTATTCTAAGTAAGCGAGGGATTTAAATGCCGGTATTGTACCAGTCTGGTAGTCTTTCTATGAACTTATATTGACAATACACCTGTACTGGATATCTGCCAAGTGTTACTGTGAAAGGCTTGGGTGGAAAGTATATGTACAGTCAGTCGCACACAAAAGTCCTGTCGCCTCTCCTCCTGAACCACGAACCCCGAGATTCATACTAGTGAATCTGAAGTATTTATGGACTCATTAATGCATCAATGTCTAGTTGTCTACAGCTTCGGATACACGAGTCTGAATCTCGGGATTCGTGGAGCAGAGGGAGAGGCTATCGATAGGGCTTTTGTGGGAGACTACATGCGTGGTTTTGTGTTTATATACTGGGAATCTCAGCAGATCTTAATAAACACATAAAACTGGGACTCACAGCATGAAACATCTGAACGTAGATGCCGACAGAGGGTATGTGGCCCACCATCATGGTCACCCCGTACCAACCCAAAAGAAGCGTGAAGGACCCTAGTTGCCGTTCCCACATCTCCAGACGCCCCTCCGTCACCAAGAGGGGAATCGAGCACACTATAAACACCATCTCCAACCACTTGTCCTTCCGTCGCAAAAAAAGACTCTTCTTCACGGAGATCTGCAACAATGTTCTCATCACTATTGCGCTCATCATCAACAGCGATAACCACCGTAGCACAGCAGCAGTTTTTATGTAAGAACACTTATTATTCACCCACACTGTGTAAGTAGAGGTGTTGCAGTCTTGAGGGAGGGGAAGATGGACCCTCAGACACACGTTGATGGTCAGAGCAAATACCACAAAAGCAAACATTGCCCACTTGATGCAAAATAGAGTACGAATAAGAAGCCATTTCAGATGAAGGAACGTTTCACACAATGGATGTTTTAATCTATCGAAGTGATCATCGTGTGCCAAAGCGTTAAGCAACTTTACTTCGACGTTTCCTGGTCTACAAATGACGTTGAAGTTAAAGTAGACACCTAGTTGACTGTCGCATGGGTCACCACGGACAGCCACTCCGGAGGTCAGCATTGTGTGGACGAGAGAGGGAAAGTGCGAAATGGCTTTGTACAGGGGCGTTTGACCCTCAGCGTCTTCAGTCGTCATGTCAGCTCCTGCAAGCACCAGAATCTCCGTCATTTTGATCGATGACGCAATATGAATAGGCGTCCGTCCTCTTCCGTCTACCATATTCTGTGAGGCACCAGCATGCAGAAAGATCCTTGCAGCAGTAACATTGTCAACTTCAGCTGCAACATGGAGAGGAGCGAGGCCTTTCTTGTTGGATGCGTCAAGAAAAGCCCCTGCCTCAAGCAGCACTTGTATACAGGCTACAACTCCTTTATGTTTGCACAGAGCTGCATAGTGCAATGGAGTTCTTCCCAAATTGTCTTTACACTCAATTTTGGCCTTCCATTCTAAAAGATTTTCAAGACACCTTTTTTGGCCTTTCTTGGCCGACAAGTGTAGAGCTGTGGCTCCTGACGAATCGGTAACATCCGCGGAAATTCCCTCCTTGAGTAACAGTCGTAAAAGTTTACTACTGTTCTTAGGAGCACTAACTGCTAAATGTAACCATGGTAATGATTTAGAGGTGAGAAGATCGCTGTGATTCTGGATAAGTGAAGCCACTCTGGCTTTATGGCCTTCCTTGAGAGCGTTTTCTAGGTCCTCTCTGATTGGTGTAGGTCCAGCCATAGCTCTCTTCACTTACACATACAGCGGTGCACTGCCTTACTCAATAGACACGGCGGACAAACTGTGATAACCACCAAATAGTCAGATACCAGCATACAGTATTTTCCTTCATTAAGATGCCAAACTGTATTGTCAAAATAATTTTAACTCTTAATAATTAAAGTATTTTAACTTCGAAGAGGGGACTAATGATACATTGTAATTCCTCATAATTATGGAGTGGCCCACATTATGTTAGTACACTCTCTGTGTATGGGCAGTGGACATTGTCTCTGATAAAAGTCTCACTTATGATCATGTATCATATCTCTAAACACTGGCGAGTGAAAATGTTATCAATGTTTCTTGTACAAAATCTGTAGTTCTCAAATTACGAAGACGGTGGGTGGGTGGGTGTGAATGCGTGTACCAACTTTCTAACGAACTGGTGATAATATTTATACTGTACTATACTGTGCACCTCTAATAGTTTTGACAATCTGATTACCCTGGATGTCCAGTGAGGTCAGGTCGCGTTAGTACAGGGGTGTTGACGGTCGGGGAAATGATATCGTTCAATTATTATGTACGTAAAATTTCAAGACCCTTAATAGTGTCATGGTCTTGTAGCTACGGCGTAGAATGAGTAACTTACATGCACACAGGCGCATCTATTATTTACATAACTAGTTGAAAGGTAACGTTGGTAACCTCAAACTGAACATTCTGTTTCATCTTAAGTAACTAGTGGTCTCAAAGCCTAACTAAAGTACAGTACTGTATTAGTTTTCGAGTTTAAAGTCCTAGTAAAAAAATTTCGAAATAACTGTACATAACCCAATGATTACACACCTCACAACATGCATTAATATAGAATTCCACGAAGCGTTGTAGGGTATTCGTTCTGTTAAACCTACCTCTAAAATTCTAAAAGAAAATAAGTGATAAACATGTTTCCAAGCGTTAGACTACACAGGAAGGGTGGCAATCCTGATAGCAGCTTTTTACGTTTCCTTTACATCTAAACTAGTCGCGTTGTTTAACACATTAATCCAGATCCGTTGTCTTGTCCACTTTCAACACCTTCAGAAAATTGTTAAGCATCAGCATTCAACCTCGCAGACGATTATACGCGATGTCACGATGGAAAATCTAAACCACAACAATTTCGTAAGGAATGCCTGGATACACCGTCTGAGCATAAACCATGCTGGCATTCCTTTACCAGATTATTCCGCCGTAGATGTTCCAACGCGGCATCGTGCATAATCTTGTGAGGCTCATGCCGTCAACGCTGTAGCACACCTGTCAGTTTACCTGTATTTTATTATTTTGCACTATGAAATTATAAAACTGATTCCAAGGATCCTAATTTTGCTTTGTCATAGACTACAATAATATTTTAAGTTGGGAGAGATTACAAAGCAGGATAACGCGTTGACAATACCGACGGGGTTTCCCCAAGTAAGTACATAGTCTTATCGTGTAAGCTGAGCCAGCAAGATGAAAATACTAATTATATAAGGATGACTTCATGTTCTAAGTAAGGTGTTCTCTTTGCAAAAAAAAAGGGGGTATGAGTAAATAGACTGTGGAAACGTTTCAGTCTATATCCTGAAGAAGTAACCAAGTTTCGTTTGAACACTTGACTACGAGATGGAACTTGCTCAGCTGAATAAAATCGTCTGGCTGTAGCTAGAGTAAAATAAATAAGAAAACAGCGTATTGAAGGGATTAATTAGCATATCAAATAAACCAGGAAGTGGACCACAGGTATTTTTGTAATACAAACTTGATGTAAACAAAAAATAGTACGTTAATCTTTGATAACTATATAACTACATTAACGGCAACAGCACGACGAGAACGTTGAATGTCACTCACACTAGTATCACCCATTGGGTCATTTTGTTTTCGCAATTTCAGTATGAATGCAAAATCGAGGGTGACAAAATATTCGCTTTCATTACACCCAAATGCTTCGGAAAAAGTGGTTTTCCAACTTTTCCTAAAAAATGATCGTAACGGCTTCTACGCCCTTGACTCTTCAGGCTTTTACGCCCTTAACTCATGAGACATAAGGCAAGCATGAACTTAGCATGCTTCCCTGTTGGGCGCTGTAAACGCTTCTGCGCTTCACCTTACACAAAGATGTAAGGGGAAAAAAAAAATCGTAACCCTAATTAGCAAAACATCTCAGAAATTGTCCTCGCCTATCATTGTCGGTTATTTCTTGATATACAGCAGCACACCTACAGTAACCCGTAGTATGTATTCCTTCTTAATAGTGGGTGATACCCTGATAAATAAAACTCACCTGGCAAAACATTTTCACTGCTTACTACTTTTTCTTTAACCATTATTTCCACTTGCTGTCCATATATTCACTAGCTAATTTCAACAATCTCTCTCGTATATATCCTTTCTTCTATTATCTAACCAAGTAAATCTATTTTCATATACAAATTTAAATAACATTTTCAATTTGGTATTTCCACTCAGCAAACAATGTGACAAACAAACTAATTAGATTTAGAGAATAAACACTACATTTCCAGGAATCTCCTTTCGTGTTATGAAACCTCATGATCCACAAGCCATGATCACCGTGTACCCTTAGATGTTGTCAGTATAACTACTGTACCATCAATGTGACCTACCGCCTTCTAACACCCCTTAACTGTAGGGGCGTGCTCCTGCATCCTGGTATCAATTGAAGTAATTGCGGTAACCTTCATTATAGCCTGGTACCTCGTAACAATGAAGTCAATGGTAGCCTCAACCTGGTGCTCCTCCTTGTAGTTACAACAGTCCTTGTCATTCAGACATTTTTCATATCTGCTCTGGTCACTGTCTCCAGCTGCACGTATATAACCTATGACCTCCAATTGGGGGTGTCATAATACTCCCCGCGACGAGGGAGGTGTAGTAATGCTCCCCACGACGAGGGAGGTGTAGTAATGCTCCCCACGACGAGGGAGGTGTAGTAATGCTCCCCACGACGAGGGAGGTGTAGTAATGCTCCCCACGACGAGGGAGGTGGAGTAATGCTCCCCGCGAAGAGGGAGGTGGAGTAATGCTCCCTCACGACGACTAATGCTCCCCGCGACGTAATGCTCCCGCGACGAGGAGGGTAGTAATGCCCCGCGACGAGCGAGGTAGTAATGCTCCCCACGACGAGGGAGGGTGTAGTAATGCTCCCCGCGACGAGCGAGGTGTAGTAATGCCCGGAAGTAACGAGCGAGGTGTAGTAATGCTCCCCGCGACGAGGAGGTGTAGTAATGCTCCCCGCGACGAGGAGGTGTAGTAATGCTCCCCGCGACGAGAGGTGTAGTAATGCTCCCCGCGACGATGCTCCCCGGGAGGTGTAGTAATGCTCCCCGCGACGAGGAGGTGTAGTAATGCTCCGACCGCGACGAGGGAGGTGTAGTAATGCTCCCGCGACGTAATGCTCCCGCGACGGGAGGTGGTAGTAATGCTCCCGCGACGAGGAGGTGTAGTAATGACGTAATGCTCCCACGACAAGGAATGCTCCCCGCGACTTAATGCCCCCACGACAATGGGGTCTAATGCCCCCACGACAGGCAATGATGTCTAATGCTCCCCACGACAGGGGGTCTAATGCCCACGACTAATGTCTAATGCCCCACGACAGGGGGTCTAATCCCCACGACAGGGGGTCTAATGCTCCCCACGACAGGGGTCTAATGCCCCACGACAGGGGGCCCCCACGACAGGGGTCTAATCCCCCCGACAGGGGGCTAATGCTCCCACGACAGGGGGTCTAATCTCCCCACGACAGGGGGTCTAATGCCCCCACGACAGGGGTCTAATCCCCACGACAGGGGGTCTAATGCTCCCACGACAGGGGTCTAATGCTCCCCACGACAGGGGGTCTCCCACGACAGGGTCTAATGCCCCACGACAGGGGGGTCTAATGCCCCCACGACAGGGGGTCTAATGCCCCACGACAGGGGTCTAATGCTCCCCCACGACAGGGGGTCTAATGCTCCCCACGACAGGGGGGGTCTAATGCTCCCCACGACAGGGGGGTCTAATTGTCCCCACGACTAAAGGTCAAGAGGATGTTCTATGTGCCTTATGACAGGTAAAGGATCTGATACCCTTCTATGACCAATAGAGAACGTGTCCAGAATGTAAACTTAATGTTACATTCTGGACCGTTAGACACAAGAGTTCTTTATTGATCATAGAAGGGCATCGGGTTCTTACCTGTCATAAAATCTTGTTAGCTGAAAAGGAATTTAATTATTAGAAAATGAGAGAATGCTGCACGTACCTTCAATGTGGCGTGTAATATGTCCCGCGATGAGCTTTGGAATCACTTACCTGCAAAGATAAATTGAAATCTTTAAAAATAATTTGAGGATATGCATTGATTTAGACATTTACTCATTAAAAGTAACTCCCAAGAAAAGGACGATAAAAGAGCTCAGGTGATTCAACACTCAATTTTACCATAAGAAAACTGTCAATATATACGGCACCCTGTATCCAACTTACAACTTCATTCGTTTTCAGTACTTAACCCAGCTAAGTAATTACACGTTCAATCCTAATTTGCATTTATATGTGCTAGTGGTGGGCTGGTTCTTTACCAGAGGTATGAGCGGCCTCTACCTCCCATAATCTCATTCCTAACTTTGTCTATTCCCTCTAATTATTCTTCTGGTGAACAACAATGGAAAGACAAGATAAACGATTTTCGGAAGTTCCCGTTGGATCATCGTCACCAAAAGGTCCATTGCTTCCAGTGCTTGTGGACAGTTTACCACCGAGAGCTAGCAAGTACTGTCCGAGCCAAACAAAGCCTTGGACATTAAACACAAAGGAAAGTTTTAAATATGAACAAACACAAAATAATGAGGTGAGGACATTATATGAGGCTAGTAATTATGCGACTGTTTGTAGGGTAATGAAAAGGATTTCAGTAGGTAATCCTGGGATTAAGTAAAGACGGACAAGTTCAAATAGCATTGGCGGTGAAGCCCTTAGCACCTAGTGCAAGGTTTCTTTTATCAGTGTTCTCAAGCATTCCGATTAGTTGTCGAAAAAAATATTTCAAAACCA